TATTATATAGAAAAAGTAGGGTAAACGATAAAATATGATTATTTAATAATAATGAAGGGCAAGATGAGAGAAAAAGTAAGAAAACGATGTCACCGCACCAAATTTATCGTTCCATAAAGTGACACTTTTCGTCGTTATGTAACGATAGATTTAACGATACGATACAATAAAATTTAAGTAACAATCAAAATAAATATTGTATTTAAAGTAAGAATAATAGCTTATTTGTCAATCTCGTGATTGGCCACTGACAAGCCAGCAATCAGCATCAATCCCCAAGCTTCTACATTTCCCAAAGTGCTTGTCTACAACGCTACAATTTTAACGGAATTAATAACAACGTGAACCAATAAGCAAACGCCAAAATAAGATCTCTTTAGGTTCTCAGTTCCCACAAATAGAAATAGACATATATAAAAGGAGTCCCTCTCAACTTAATTATCTCTCTTTCCGTGCCAGAGCAGAGGGAAACGCGGCTAAAGGACAGCTCCATTTCTAGATCTACGCACTCAATTCTCCGATCTCCGATCTCCGGTAAGCCATTTTCGTCTCTTCGTCGTAGACATTTTACATACATGCGCGTGTAGATCTACCTTATATTTGCTCTTAATTTGCTGATTTCTAGATGTTATTCCGGTGCTTATAGAAAATTCGTTAATAGATCGATGGATTTTCTGGTTTTGGATTTGTTTAGCAAATATAAAAAATTCACAAATAGCAACTTTTCAGCTCCTGTAATTGACAAATAACTGTTGTCCTGGAGTTTTGAGTTTCACTTGTATAATTTGAAACTCCAAAACAGTGGTTATTTTTCAAACATAGGATTAAAAAGAGGCTAGTCGGTGCTATTTCTAGAATATGAATAACAAATCAGCAACAATAATGAAATTTGTTGGAGGCTGGTTGGAATTGAACTGCTAAGGAATAAGGTCACAATATGTTTTCCGCTTATGTTTGATTTATATCCTGATATGATCATTATTCAATATACTTTTCACCAATTGCAGAAGTATCTTGGGTAGTGGGAGTGCAGAGCCAGGAATTCTGATAAGCGGATTCAGAAAAAATCCATAAATGCCACTTCTGATATTTGAACTTGCATTTCTCTTATGTTAAGGGGATTCAAAATTTCATATATGTATAAAAAATATATTTTTACCCTATTTATGCCGTATAAATTTCCAACAATATTCAATTGAACTCTCTTCCTTGCATCTGGTTCCTGCGCAATCATTGTTCACAAAAGAAATATATGCACACACACATGAAAATCTTTTGAGATATATTTTGTCTGCATCAGTCATCAATCATCATAGAGGTTTATTGACATTCTGCACCCATGATTGGTTCTGACTCTACGTCTTCACATATTAGTGAAATGCTATTTCGAACAGCTCTAGAAATAGAGAGCTGTAAAATGATATTTACACGGTCAATGCTGTGCAGAGTTTTGATTTAAATTCTGCTGGATGTACAGTGTGGTTATTAAAGTTTACAATATTTTAAAATTGTCATTTCCTGTCTAAATATGACATTTATATTGGTTTCTAAGAATATCAGTCCCTAAATAGTGCTTCTAATGAGTTTGTCTGGGGATTGATAAGGATAACATGAACACGACCAGGTCTTCCAATTTTATTTGAAGAGTTGAAATGTGGCTGTGTTCCACAAAAATGAACTATTCATGTGTCCTACCTTGGGGATTTCTTATACATGACTTTGAGATTGCAATTCTTTATACGTCAGTATTTGACTCGATAGAGAAGTGACAGAACTACAGTATGAAAACATGAAACAGCCTAATTAAAGACCGGTTTTCTGCATGAATGTACAACAAAATACAAAATGAAGCTTACTGCAAAAGCCACACGCAACAGAGGAATTTTCCTTCTCTATTTGTTCTCTTTGGATATTAGTTGCATTCCTATATTCATGATGAGCAGACCTAGTGGATTTTCTGGATTGATCCTTCTGATTTCTTGAGAATTTCTTGTATTCTTCAGTTATACAGAGATGGGGCTGTCTTTCGGCAAACTTTTCAGTCGCCTCTTTGCTAAGAAAGAAATGCGTATTCTTATGGTTGGTCTTGATGCTGCTGGTAAAACCACAATTCTCTACAAGCTCAAGTTGGGGGAAATTGTTACCACTATCCCTACTATTGGTACGCTTTCTATGAATTCTGATTTCTTTTCATCTCATGAGTTGCAGCTTACAATGGTATATAATTTTTGACTTTATTCTGGGATATACTACTTGAAAGTAAATTATGTTGATCTGTATAGCCAAAAAGATTGGTAGGTGAAAATGCCTCGAAGTCTTGCAAAATCCCTTGAGATCATTTGCATCAGCATGTGTTTTGAATGGGAAAATTATGTAATCTTTTGGGATTCAGTATCGTATCTCTATGGGATTAAATAACTTTTGATGGCTGCAGTTTTGGCTATGCATATTCATCAAATGTTTGTCCTATGCGTATAGCTGAAGTTCCTTCTTTGATCATGCTGAGTTTGTCAGTTTTTGCTATGCAATTGTTCTTTTCAACAATGTACTTTTCTATCGGTAGGCTTCAACGTGGAGACTGTTGAATACAAGAACATCAGCTTTACCGTGTGGGATGTTGGAGGTCAAGACAAGGTACAAGAAATTCTACTGTCATGATAGCTTTTTAGACAAAACTTCATCTGGAACCTTGTAATTCTCCATATTCTTTCGGTTCAAGAAACACGGAGTTAAAGTTTATGCAACAGGTTGATTCTTGAAAGAGTTGAAAAGTAATACAGATTTGTTTACTTCTTTATGATCTGCTTGCAGATTCGACCACTATGGAGGCATTATTTCCAGAATACTCAAGGTCTCATCTTTGTCGTTGACAGCAATGACCGAGACCGTGTAGTTGAGGCAAGGGATGAGCTTCATAGGATGTTAAATGAGGTACTATCAACATTTAGAAAGTGAAGTTAGAGGAATCTTTCTTAAATTAGACATATGACTAATAAACCTAGGATGTAGCATAGCGGTCTTGAATCCTCATTTCATTTCTATGCAGGATGAATTAAGAGAGGCTGTGCTGCTTGTTTTTGCAAACAAACAAGATCTTCCAAATGCAATGAATGCAGCTGAAATCACCGATAAGCTTGGCCTTCATTCTCTTCGACAACGACACTGGTAAAATACATTGATACCGCCATTTGTGCAGTCTGGTCCTAACTAGCAAGGAGCGCATAAGGTAGGACTGTCATCTAATGCTTTCTCCTTCTTTCTCTCAGGTATATCCAAAGTACGTGTGCCACTTCTGGAGAAGGGTTGTACGAAGGACTAGATTGGCTTTCGAACAATATTTCAAACAAGGTATGTGTTAAGATTGTGTCACCCTACACCTTGGCAGTCGAACCCCTTGCCTTCACCATCTTGCCGGCTTTTCTTTTCACATTTCTAATTTTGTCCTTTCTGGTCCAATTTCAGGCATAGGGCATCCCACGAGGTTGCACTCCAGCCCACGTTCCTTAATTTGGAGTACAGACGTTAAACACCATAGCTTTTATCATTATCTCTTAGTTTGGTGGTTTAGACTTCTGTTTCATATCTGTGGTCATAGAAGTGATTAAACTCTGAAAATCACCCACCTTTCTTTCATTTTTTGTTTTCTTATTAATGAAATTTCATTGTCAACAATACTTGTGGGTCAGCTACCACATTGCTGGATGTGCTCATTTGTAATGTGAAAACACTAGTACAATATTGGCTTTTGTATCCTAGTGGAGCTACTTTAACCATCTTGATGTCTTTGTTATACTTGATACTGCGACTGTTACACAATGAAAGCAAAGCTCAGTAAAGCAAACACTTGNGCCTTTCTTTCATTTTTGGTTTTCTTATTAATGACATCTCATTGTCAACAATACTTGTGGGTCAGCTACCACATTGCTGGATGTGCACATTTGTGATGTAAACATATTTAGTACAATATTGGCTTTTGTATCCTATTGGAGCTACTTTAACCATCTTGATGTCTTTGTTATATTTGATACTGCGACTGTTACACAAAGAAAGCAAAGCTCAGTAAAGCAAACACTTGAATTTTGCGATTGCAATTTGCAGGTATCCTTATGACTGTTTGCCAGAAAATCAACGTAAAAGAAGATGAATATTAGCTTAGTGTGATTGACTATGAGAATGAGTTTAGCAAAGAACTCTGCGCTTAGATTCATAATTCCAATCAGTTACTTCTTTTTCCATTTCTGTATTTCTGCATGCAATAATCCTACTATTCTCTAGGTTTTCCTAAGTTAGAGACTTATGTCTAACTTCCTTTTTTGTGTTCTCAATTAACTCGCAATACTTGCTTGGATCGTTGATAAACTTGGTAAAGTTTTGTTCTTTTTCCTTGTCCATTGTGAGATATTGAAGATCAACCATAAGTCTCTACTTTTCTTGGCTTCTTTCTCTAACTATTATAATTTTTCTTCATCTCGTTCATCGTGTATTCTCGTACTAGTACCATTTAAAATGAGCTCGCCAGCTGATTCAATTTGTTAAGCTAAATCTAAATCAATTGGTTGTGTTTGTTTAGGAGATGATTGCTACAAAGTTTACCTTTTGGAAATTACTTGAATGTGTGTTCTCTCCAGCTTTTGATTTGTGTTTGACTATGTTAAAAGTACTGGTTGTGACTCATCTCATCGCCTTTTGATGCAACTCTAATCAAAACATCACACTATGCAATGTTTCCATCTATATTAGACAACGTAAAATGTACATACACAAGGTAAAGAATAAAAATGGAGAATGTGTGCAGGGTACCAAAACACAGTAAAAGTGGCTTTTAACATTTTAAAAACATACTAAATGGAATAGACATGGAATATTTCCATATTTAGAATGTATTCTTAAACTGTCTTATCTCAGTTTTGCAAAGTATAGTCGGTTTCAAATGATGAAACACTTGTCATCACTTTTGCAACATCAATGGTTTTTATTTTTTACTAGGTCAAAAATGAATGGAATGACAATGAGTACAGAAGTTCTTTTATTTCTCAGTTTGATTACAAATTAATATATGTGTGTATGTACACAATGACATATATAAATAAGGAAGGTAAAAAAATGCTCTACTCTATGAATATCAGTTTTTATGATCAGAGGTATCTTTAGTGGTAGTGTTCTTTCTAAAGGGAGAATAACCTTTCTGCAATACTTTCTCGACTTCCTCGAATTGCAAGCCTTTGGTTTCAGGAACAAGGAAGAAGATGGCGACGAGTCCAAGAAGTGAAAACCCCGCGAATAGGAGGAACGTGCCAGAGGAACCAAGATGTTCAGTTAATGTCAAGAATGTTAAGCTAACAATTAGATTTGAAGTCCAGTTGGAAACAGCAGCAATGCCTCCACCTATTCCGCGGAATCTTAAGGGGTAAATCTCAGAGTTGATAACCCATGGTATTGTTCCCATACCTGGGGAGTACACTATGATGTATAATCCGAGAAAAATGACTGCTAAGAATCCGAACTTGCTTGGACAACCTTTCGTGTACCAAACGCGTTTCTCTGCTTTGCAAGCTCCTTCTAGTGCATCTGTTTTTGCTATACATGCTCCAGGAGCATACTGCGTATTAAAACAAATAGTTATGTTAGTAGAACAGGATAGACAAGCACTTGTAAGAGAGCGACTTTTATTAGCACATAATAGTATTTACTGTTGTTAATTATAATTTACTGTAGCTTATATTTTAAATTTATCTTGTTTCCAATATTATAGGAATTTGTTATTTAGTTCCTTGATTTCTGGTTTGTTCCACTATAGAAGGAATACTATCTCAGTAACTCTGTTATAGGCTTGTGTATATATTGAGTTTATAGTCATTCAATAAAATCATCTTTCTTTTGTTTCATCTTGCTCAGTAATTATATGGTATCAGAGCAGTCTCCTAGACTCTCACGAGCTTTTTTTTCGATCTTCTGACTACCACCACCGACGCGCACTTAAAATGGCCCTCAATGTAACAAATGCTGACTCCACTAGCAGCAACTCTAGTGTTATTATTCAGTTCAATCCTGTATCGCAGCTGCCAATAAAGCTTGTTGGCAGCCATAACTTTGCGACATGGAAAGCCCAGATTTCCATGCTCATGCGTGGGCACAATCTGTTCGGTCATCTTGACGGTTCTTCTCCCACTCCTTCGACAACTATCACACAAAATGATAGGCAAGTGGAGAATCCAAACTACAACATTTGGTTCCGTCAAGATCAGTTGATCCAGAATGCCATAATGGCTTCTGTCGATTCAACAATAGCCGCAACTGTGGCTGCTGCCTCCACTGCTAAACTTGCCTGGGACTCGCTCCATATGGCTTATGCCAACAAGTCCCAAACGCGAGTCTTTAGCCTTCGCGATCAACTTGCACGACTGTCCAAGGACTCTCGCCCAGTCGCCGAATATCTCCATGAAATGCGCTCTCTCTGCAAAGAGCTTGCCACTGCTGGTGCTTCAATCTCTAATGATGAGTTGATTGTGAAAATTCTGAGTGGCCTAGGGCCAGATTTTCGTGAGATTTCCGCTGTAATCCGAGCAAGAGATTCCATCATCTCTTATGAGGAGCTATATGCCAAACTGATTGATCATGAGCTCTTTCTCAAACATGAAGAAATGAAGAAGGAAACAACACCAATTACTGCTGCTATGGTAACTCACAACAGATCCACCAATTCCAATAATCGCAGTGCTCGTCGACCCAACAACAACTCATAATGGCGTTACAACAATCGTACTAATGCGCCTTCTCAAGGACGTTACATCAATAACTCTGTTCGCTGTCAGTTATGCAATAGACAAGGTCACACTGTAAATGTTTGTAGGTCACAGTCTCATAATCATTTAGAGGCAAAGGCAAATTTTCTTTCAGGTATGCAAGCTGCACCCAACCAATGGATTGTTGACTCCGGTGCTACTCATCATGTCACCACAGAGCCTACTAATCTTGAAGAATATAATGGTCCAGAAGGAATAGCTATGGGCGATGGTAAAAAAATCCCAATTACTCACCTTGGTTCTACTGAATTAGTTGCATCAAATAATGCTTTCAAACTAACTGATACTTTGTGCGCACCTGCTATCAAACAAAACATTGTCTCTGTGTCAAAATTTTGTCAAGATAATTTGACCTCAATTGAATTTTTTCCATTTTTTTTCTCTGTGAAGGACTTGAAAACGAGGACTCCGCTGGTATCCGGTCGGAATAGGAACGGACTCTATGAATGGCCCAACTTCACTGTTAATAAGCCTACTGTTCAACTTGCCTCTACAAAGATTCCTCGTCAAATTTGGCATCGTCGCCTTGGCCATCCCCACTCAAAAATCTTGAACTTTGTTTTGAATAGATTTTCTCTACCAGTTTCATCAACAGACAAGTTTACTTTATGTAATTCTTGTTGTTCAAATAAAGTTCAACGTTTTCCATTCAATTGTTTGTCTCTAATTAGTACTGCTCCACTACAGATTCTTTTTAGTGACTTATGGGGTCCATCACCCGTCTTTTTCATTGATAAAAAATGATATTACTGTGTCTTTATTGACCAGTACACCAAATATATTTGGTTGTACACTCTTAAAAATAAACATGAAGTGCTGGACATTTTTTTCAAGTTTCATCCCTTAGTGGAAAACTTTTTCAAAAAGAAAATTGTCTTTCTTTATACTGATGGAGGAGGTGAATACAACGGTCTTGATACATATCTCCATTCAAACGGAATCGAACACCTTGTATCACCTCCTTATACACCACAAAGAGTGGCCATAGCTGAGCGTCGTCATCGGCACATTGTTGAAACTGCCAAAACTCTTTTACATGAGGCATCCTTACCTTTAAATTTTTGGTCGTTCGCTTGTCAACACGCTGTCTATCTAATTAATCGACTCCCCACACAACTTTTAAACAATAAATCACCATTTGAAAAATTATTTGGTGTCACACCCAGTTATGATTCACTTAGAACTTTTGGTTGTCTATGTTATCCATGGCTTAAACCTTACACTAAACATAAACTTGAGCCTAGGTCAACTCCATGTGTCTATTTAGGTTTTTCTCAGGTTCATTATGCACACCAATATTTTGATCCCACTAAATCTAAACTTTATATCTCAAGATATGTAAAATTTTTTGAAAATATTTTTCCGTTTCAAACAATATTCTCGCAGTTAAAAGATAAGTCTTTTACACCAATGTGGGAGGTTTCTGATAACACTCCTACTCATTCTCCAATTCAAACTCCTCATATTTCTCCACTTCCTTCTCCTCTACTAGTTCGAGATAATTGTACCAGTGGCCAAACTAGTGAGTCCGTCTCCTCTGGCCAGAATCATGCGCATTCCAGGGGTTCAGGTAATTCACTTTCTCTGCCTTGTCCTTTCCCTGCTTCTTTGCAGCAACCTCAGTCCCTTATCCCTGCAAATAATCCAACTCCCCGTATTATCACCTACCAACGTAGAAACAAAAACCAAAACCTACCACCTACTTGTACAACTTCTCCTGCACAACCAACAAACTTGCCCTCTCATTCACCACCTCCACATACTTCTCCTTCTCCGCCTCTGCCCCCGCCTCCACCTCCTCATTCAACCCGTCCAACAACATGATCACAGAACAATATTTTCTATCCCAAGAAACCATTCAATTACCTTGTCCAGCTTCCTGCTGATGTTACCCCTCATACCTTCAAGCAGGCTCAAAAGCACCCAGAGTGGAGGTCAGCTATGAAAGCTGAATTTGATGCGTTAATTCAGAATCAAACCTGGGAGTTAGTTCCTCGAGATTCTAATAAGAATGTTGTTGATTGCAAGTGGATTTACAGGATCAAAAAGAAGGCAGATGGTTCGATTGACAAGTACAAAGCTCGTCTGGTTGCCAAGGGGTTTACTCAGCGACCGGGTCTTGACTATCACTGCACGTTCAGTCCGGTTGTCAAACCCACAACTATTCGTGTTGTTCTTTCACTTGCAGTTCAGCAAAATTGGGTCTTACATCAGTTAGACGTCAACAATGCTTTTTTACAAGGCACACTTGAAGAAGAGGTTTTCATGAACCAACCACTTGGATTTGAGAATGCAGCTTATCCCTCACATGTTTGTCGTTTGCGTAAAGCCATTTATGGTCTCAAGCAAGCCCCTCGCGCTTGGTACAATGAACTGACAACCTATCTTTTCTATATGGGGTTTGTTAAGTCTCACTCGGACCCATCTCTCTTTGTTCGGCGTGACTCTAATAGTGTTGTGTATATTTTGGTCTACGTAGACGACATCATCCTTACAGGAAACATTTCTTTAATGGTTCATCAGGTTATCTCTTCATTGGCCTCCCGTTTTTCACTTAAAGATCTTGGCCCTTCATCCTACTTTCTTGGAGTTGAGGTTCATCGAAATGCCAAAGGCCTATTTCTCTCACAAGCAAAGTATGTTTCAGATCTTCTCCATGACCTTCTGATGCAGGACTGCAAAGGTGTTTCCACGCCCATGAGTTCTTCTCAAAGTCTGTTGCTAAATGATGGTACTCCATCTCATGACGCTACAGAATATAGGAAAGTAATTGGCAAGTTGCAATACTTGTCTTTTACCAGGCCTGATGTTTCTTACTCGGTGAACAAATTGTCTCAATTCATGCATGCTCCATCTGAAACTCATTGGAAGGCTGTCAAGCGACTCGTTCGTTATCTCAAAAGTACTGCTAACTATGGCCTTCAAATATCTCCTACCACAAGTCTTAATCTCTCTGTTTTTTCTGATGCTGACTGGGCCGGCAACCTTATTGATCGAAGTTCCACCACTGGTTATATTATATTTCTTGGCCTTACTCCAGTTAGTTGGTCCTCAAAAAAACAACGCACTATTGCTCGCTCATCCACTGAAGCAGAATACCGGGCTGTTGCTAGTGCTGTTGATGAGATCACTTGGGTCAAAAATCTTCTCAGAGAACTTCATGTGAATATCTCCACACCTCCAACAATCTTTTGTGACAACCTCGGTGTCACCTATTTATGTGAGAACAATATTCTTCACAGCCGCATGAAGCATATAGCTGTTGATTTCCACTATGTTCGCCAACAGGTTCATGATAAGCGTCTTGTTTTCAAGCACATTCCTAGTTCCGACCAGTTGGCTGATGCTCTCACCAAGCCACTTCCAAAAGAGTCATTCCATCGTCATTTGTCCAAGCTAGGTATTGTTGCACACCATCTAACTTGAGGGGGGGTGTATTAGCACATAATAGTATTTACTGTTGTTAATTGTAATTTACTGTAGCTTATATTTTAAATTTATCTTGTTTCCAATATTATAGGAGTTTGTTATTTAGTTCCTTGATTTCTGGTTTGTTCCACTATAGAAGGAGTACTATCTCAGTAACTCTGTTATAGGCTTGTGTATATATTGAGTTTATAGTCATTCAATAAAATCATCTTTCTTTTGTTTCATCTTGCTCAGTAATTATAAGTTTCAAAATCTAAAACTGCTATAGTAAAGAAGAACGAGAGTACCTCCCAAAGGTTCTATCTATTCCGTACATATCTAATTTATCTACTCATTTACTTTTTCTACTCTTTATTGATTTATATACTCATCAGCCATCATCATCGCGCCACACCTAGAATTTCTCAAACCACACCATCAGGGATTGCTTCAATCTGTATATGGCTTTCTTCAATCTGCATATTTTATGTGACTAACCCTTCATTCCATATCGGGGTATCTCTACATGTACATCTCCTAGTGCAAGTTCCCCTCACTTGTAGACTCTAGTTACATGCAGGGGCGGATCCACCATTAAGGTACCGGATTCATCTGAACCCAGTATTTTCGACGCGGAACATAAATTTATGTGTAAAAATTCACAAACATTGCAACAAATAGTAAATAACTTTAAAAATAATGGGTTCAGTGCAAAAAATCTTAAAAGTTGAACTCATATAGTTTAAATCCTGGATCGGCCTCTAGTTACATGAATCTTAGCATATGACCTAAACATGTCTCTGAAATTACCCCTAATGTTTAAGTTTGCCTATAATTTAGCCACCTGGATACTTGCACAAATCATGAATCTAGCCACATAATATCCTACAAGTCACATGCATCTAGGACTCAATTCTAAGATACTCAAAACTACTAGTTGAATAAGTTATAGATTCCAAGATAGATTTTATTGCTGACTTACCAGGTCATTGGTATTTGAACAAAATCCACAATCAGCTTCCTTAGCCAAGCATTTCATGCAATTCCAGGAGGATGGATTAGGGGAATTGGCATAGGCCTTACAAGTAGCATTGCCAAAATGGGCAGATTCATTGCTGCTGATTGCTGGTGCATGAGCGGACGCTTGGAAGAAGACAACGGACAACACAACGAGACAAGAAATAATACCCAACATAGAGATAATCATGAGTCTCCTCCTACCATATTTGTCGACAAACGCCACACTAACTATGGAGCCAACAGCATTGAGACCAGAAGTGATAAGTGATAGTGCGACAGCAGTTCTATTGGATGCAAATCCAGCAAATTGGATGATAGTTGGACTGTAATACATGACAGTGTTGATACCGACAAATTGTTGAGCCACTTGAACACAGATTCCTGCATAGAGTGCTCTTCTACATGCTGTATTTCCAAATGCTTTCTTAATTTGAGTAAACGTGCTACTTCCGATGGAACCTTCAATCGCCTTTTCTTCTTCAATTGATTTCTTCATTGCCTGCATTTCCTCTTCTACTTCCTCTGCTGAGTAAATTTTCGCCAAGATTTCCTTCGCCTCGTCCACTTTCCCCTGATATATATACCAATCAAACATCATTAGTACATAAATTTCACCAATATTTCCTTGGTGTACTTCCACTTTTCCCTAATATATACCAATCAAACGTCATTAGTACATAAATTTTCGCTAAGATTTCTTGGCCTCGTCCACTTTTCCCGAATATATACTAATCAAACATCACTAGTACATAAATTTTCGCCAACATTTCCTTGGCCTCATCCATTTTTCTTTAATGTTTAGCAAGAGCTTAAGTTCTATTCACATACTGTATAATTACACAATCATTTCATTTATTAGTGTACGTAACTTTAGATTCTATGTATCAATCAAGCATTGTTACTACATCAATTTCATTGCAGTAGAGTTTATACAATTGGTCAATCGATCAAGTACCTTTCTGTAAAGCCATCTTGGAGACTCAGGAAGGGTGATCATGAGCAAAAACTGAATAACTGCCGGAAGTCCAGCAATGCCAAGCATCCAACGCCACGTTCCTTTCACCTGAAACAAGTTAGACATTATTTACAATGGTTCTCAAAAACACAAGAGAAGTTGGAACGAGATCGATGCAGTTGCCCAGGCATCTAATGCATTTAGTACATATCAAAAGGAAAAGATAGTGAAATAAAAAGTTATAGTAATTACATGAGTGAAGGCAAGATTGATTAGATATGAAATGAATTGTCCTCCTGTAATGAGGAAACCATTTGTGCTAACAAGTGCACCTCTGATCTTATGAGGAGAAGCTTCTGATATATAAAGAGGAGCAGTCATTGAAGCCATTCCAACTCCCAAACCGACGAATATCCTTCCAAGAATTATCACCCAAGGCGCCGGGGCAACAGCCATAATTATTGCACCAGCAAAGAAGAGAACATCAGCAATGAGAATTGAGAGTTTTCGTCCAAACTTATCGTTAAGCCAACCACCAGTGGCTGCACCAAAGATTGCACCAGCAACAGCCATACTAACAATAGTTTCTTGCAACCATGTTTTCTCGTCGACATCATTAAAATCTTCCCTTATGTAAAGAAGTGCACCAGAAATAACACCAGTGTCATAACCAAAAAGAAATCCACCAATGCCAGCTGATAAAGCCAGCTTCATTATATAAGGAGTTTTCCATACTGCACTCCAACATTCTGTGAATTCTGTTTTATCTGCTTTGTTTATTCCTCCCTCTACCATTTTATTTACTTATTTGCATTCAACAATCTCCTCACTATAGTAGTTTTTATTGTGGAAAAGTGAATTCCTTGTTGCTTGAACTACAAAAGAAAGATGTAAATGGATTCCTTTTAGGGTACAGATATTCCAACCTTTATAAATCTGCATTAAAAACAAAAGTAGAGCGAATTACAACAACAATAAACTCAGTGTAATTCTAATAGTGGGGTCTGAGGAGGGTAGTGTGTACGCAGACCTTACCCCACCTTAAAGGTAGAGAGGTTGTTTCCGATAGACCCTATGCTCACGAAAGACGAAAAGAAAAGCAGTAGCACCAAGCAGTAACAACAACAAGATAGTAAGAAAACGAAACGAAAGGAAACAAGTAATACTAAAAAGATCTAACAATAATAGAATACAAGACTAACATTAAAACTCTCGACTACAACTACAATAACCAGAGACGATCAAGATTTAAATTCGATGGGTTCAATATTTATATTCTCAGCACTTAATCTATTGCACTTTTGCAATTATGGGTTCATAACTAGCATTTATTAAAATTTTAGTGCCTTTTCATATATGCATTTATGGTCCGAGTAAAAAATACTGAGTTTAATTAAACTTGTTGGGACTACACTGCACCCGCCATCAATAATAACTACGCCTCGATCCCAAGCAATTTGGGGTTGGCTATATGAATTGTCACACTATCCATCCATTTAAGCTCATCTCAGATCATTAAGAGACGGACGCTACATATAATCAACGGGTTCGCTTAAAATCAATAATTTTTACACGAAGCATAGATATATATTATTAAAAAAATCACTAAAATATTAATACGAACCTATAATTACAAAAGATTGTGTTGCGTTCAATAATGAGAACACAAATATTGAATTTATCAAATTTAAATCCTCATCCGCCTCTAACTCCAATATTACAGAAAGAAAGAAAAAAAGAAAAATAACCCATCTGTTCCAGTTTATGTGAACCTATTTCCTGTTTGGTCCGTTCCAAAAAGAATGATCCCTTTCTAAATTTGGTAATAATTTAGCTTAAACTTACAATTCTACCCTTAATGAGAAGTTTTTATAACCACTCAAATACTGGGGGCCTTTTTGACTTGTTTAGGACCACAAATTCCAAAAGTCTTCATTTTTTCTTAAACTTTGTGCGCAGTCAAACAAATTCACATAAATTGGAACGGAGGGAGCATATATATATATATATATAATACAGAATTACAGAAAAAATGAAACCATATATATAACCATTGAGCTATTTACTTTTGAAGAGAAAAACCAACTTAATAGAAAGACGTTAGCTGAATTTTTTAACAGGTATGAAAATGCAAATGTTTAAAAATCTGCATCAAAAACAAAAGGTTACAAAGAGAAAAAAGTAACCTTATATTTACATGAAGAGATTCAGAAATGAAGGTAGAGGGGAAGGAATATAAGCTTCTAATTTCTTGTGGTTGTTTATAATATCCATTTAAAGACTGGTCGTTGAGCAAAAATAAATTATTGCCATTAATTTTGAACAAATTAAAAGAAAAGAATGGTTTTGCAATGGCCTAGACAACCAGCGACTGTGGATATTTATTTTTTTAGACAACCACTTATTACTCATTTTACACACAGATATATCGGGAAATCTAAGGTTTACCTACACAGATTATAATGCGGAGATTCATAGAGGAATAAGAATTACTCAATTATCGTGATCTGATTGGATGTTTTAAGATATATATAATCCAAGTTACGTGCTTGATTTAAATTGGATAAAATTTAGTTTCACGTAGCAATATTGACCTATATTTGATCACTTTATATTGCAAACTATTAGCATGAGATTGAGTTTAGATGGAATAAAGTGGTTTTTGCGGATTCATATAGCTAAGACCTCGACTTGTTTGAGATATAGTAATTGTTGTGGTATTTAATCAAATAAGATAAGAAGTGAGAATTCTGGTGATTGTTAGAATTTCTTTGTGTTTCAATACTCGGACGGATGCTTCAAAATTCTAGGAGCGTTTTTTAAAATTTTAACACGAGGCTATTTTTCAAAAAAGAATTCTAATAGAGTCAAAATATAAATAGTGATTTTTAAAAAGGTCTATTCAGCATAACTTTTAGTATTATTAAATTGTCAAAAGTAGGCACTTGGTTACATGAGCATTGGGTCAAATGCAAATAGCCTGAAATTAATACTATTTTCAGTCCCCTATCAGATTGATTTATTTAATCAAAATGTTTTTTTTTTTGTTCATGCAAAACATTATTATAACAGATTTTAAATTTAAAAGGGTAACGGTTTGTTTTCAAAAAAAGTGGTTGCTGCAAAGTGCCTCTTCCTAAAGGTTGTAAAAAACATCTTTGAACATACTCCTAAAGATATTATAAATACTTGGTACTGCTCCAAAACGAATATAACAATTGCAGAATTGTTTCTACTTTTTTTTACAATTCACAAAAGTTTATTGTCGTGGGAAATCCGAGTTAATTGCTGAAATTGGCTTAAATCCTTAAGGACAATGATTCCGCAATCTATTTTTCTAACATCTATAACTATCATTTTTCAATGTTTGCAAATAATGGAAGTTTTTTAAGAGAAAATTAAGGTATGTTAGAATATACGAGACAAATAGATAATATCTTGCACTACTTTTTAGACATGAGAATCTTATTCTAAACACGTCTAATCCTTATAATTTTGAAGTAAACACGGGTAGAATCTTAAGTTTAACAAGTGTTGCCCCTCGCTTGCCCCATGGGTAACATTTTCGATTTTTGACCTTAAAGGTTTGTTCATGAGGCGAGCGAAGGTCAAAAAATCAAGAAACCACCTACAAACGCTTTACGCCCAATCATTCTGGATAACGCTTGCATTCTCTGTATTACCGCGGCTGCTGGCACAGAGTTAGTCGATGCTTATTCCCCAGATATCGTCATTGCTTCTTCTCTGGGAAAAAAAGTTCACAACCCGTGGGCCTTCTACCTCCACGCGGCATTGCTCTGTCAGGCTTTCGCCCATTGCGGAGTCTAGGCCGTGTCTCAATCCCAGTGTGGCTGATCATCCTCTCGGACCAGCTACTGATCATCACCTTGGTATAATTTCCGGAATGCATAAATGGAAACAGGAAACAAACGAGAGATAATAAATAAGATATGATCAACTAAACAAGTGATTGATTAGAGAATATTTTTGCATTTATATGTGATCTAATTCGCGTATTGATAATTTATTTTGAAATCATTACAAAATAATATAAAGATGATGAAATATAAGGGTTTTGAGTTTGAGTTTGACCACCCATTATTTTTTGTCACTGTCCTCATTTCTTATAACCAGTTCAAAATAAGACTTAAAACATAGTATAACCAGAGTTATAATAAGACATAAAACATAATATACTCACACAACTTTTTGCAAGAACATAGATCCTAGCAATAGAAACAAGACCAGCAATTCACACAACTTTTTGCAATACTAGAAAGTGAAACAAGAGAAATATAGAGAGTAACAATGATTCTGCAACCCCAGTGCAAAATAAGACATAAACAGAATTACAGACTTGCTAATTCATCTAATCTATTTACAATCCAAGAGTGCTAGATCAAAGTTAACCACTTAATTACAGTTGCATGCCAAATTAAAATCTTCAGTTCAAGTGCCTCTTTCCATGCATCTTGTGACTCTCCCTCTACATTCAGCTCTGCAAATCAAGCAACTTCCTGCAAAGAAAGTAAGAAACCATGAAAATGGCTTTCAATAAATTAGTCATGCTTTTCACCTCATCGTACAATTTACCACGTTAGTCATTGCAACTCTCACCAGTATTGCAATAAGCATATAACAGAAGTGGATCATCATACGAGTTATCTATTGGTCCTGTGTGACCTTAAAAGAATTTAGGCAGCAGTGACTGACTTCCAAAACACAATCCTCAAGAAGCTCATGAAACAAGATCATGAATCACCAGCACCTGATAGCAATCTTCTCCACGTGGCAGTCAGTCACTGCTGCTAAAGTTCTCACTGCTTCACACCACAATATAAAAAGAATCATAAGAAAATTAGACAAGTAAATATATAGAAAGATTACCATAGTCTATCAATTTTGCATTTCAATATCATAATCCTATCAGCTAAAGGACTAAAGCATGCATGGCCAATGATACTACTCAAAAATTAGCCAAGGACTAATTTCAATTCTTTCTGCAAACCAACTCTACTTAAACAACATATACTCCACTAAGTTCAAATCTCTGTATTAAAAGCTGCCTATAACTGCTCATTTTTTAGGGACAGAATAGAAATGGACATGGAAACTAATCAGGAAGACCATAGCATGCTTTAGTTGGACAGCTATACTGGAGGCCTGCTTGAGACAAGATAACCTTTGTAAAAGAGGTTTTCCATTGTGCAACACGTGTTTCATGTGTCAGCAAGAACCTGAATACGCCCACCATATTCTTCTCCATTGTAAAGTTGCTAGAGATGTCCTGAATATGTTTTGGTGTATTTTAGATGCTTTGATGCAATCGCCAAATAGTCTCCTAAAAGTAAGATGACTTTCATATCTTTTTTGCTGGTCTAACTTATAGTATGTACTTAACAGTTAACAACTCAGTAGATTTTTTAGCTCCTGAAACTGCATCTAAAAGATTTAACAGTGCAACATTCAGCGGTGCAAGAGCAGTATCAATACTAATACATGTTTTCTAATTCTGTTTGATTCCCGTAATAGGCGTTTTCTCTTCTTCTAGAGTGAAACCGCCTGGCTACTAATATTCAGGATAAATAGGACACCTTCAAGATCTGTTAGCGCATTGATAGAGACTACATAAATAGGACTTTACCCAGAGGCGTATGCAGTAAGCTATGGGTTCAATTGAACCCATAGTTTTCGCTCATACCCTGTATTTATGCCCAAAACATCATTAAATTTGTACAAATAATAACTTTTGAACTCATTAAATTAGATGAGATGTGGCAGAATTGCGAATCTGAACCCATAAAGTTTAAATCATGGATCCGCCTCTGACTTTACCGACAAGTAAAAAGGCAAAAAATGATGTAAAAATCCAAGTTAGTATTGTGACGTTAGTATATTGACAGTTCGATGAAAACACGAGTCCAAATTTACATCTAGAGAGTATCCTCTATATAGTTTTATTTCATCAAATATAGCTCGCTAGTTTAAGAAAGTGTAGGTCTACAAAAGAGAAAATTTGAAAGAAATGATGAAATACCTAAACCAGCTGAATTCCCAGGTTGGTCTGCACGAGAACCTGAAGATATAAGAATCTGCCATCCTACACAAGCATTTCAACGCATTAGTAATTGGAACATAAGCTAAAAATTCTTATGAAAATAAGATTAACTGAAAGTGAAAATCGAAGTTCATACTTCAACAAGCACCTCTCTTGTCAAGAAAGCAATGAGATGGGAAAGTACTCTAGTGCAGAAATGTAGTGCAGAATCAGGAGGGTAGTTGCTTCTTACCATTTTAGTGATCTGGATCCATATTTGGCTTCTTAAGTTGAAGACATCTCTTCACGATCAATGAAGATTGAAGGTATGTGTTTAATCTTAGACCAATCCTTACCTTGAAGCTTAAGACAACGTTTCTTTAATAGTGGACAATTTGATATAGCAAGAGATTCCAGCTTTGATGGAAGTTTTCCCTTAGGAAATGACTGAAGCTCATAACAATAAGAAATATACAAAATTTTGAGAGCGCTAAGAAGTGGAAGCATGGGGATTGCAACAAGTTTAGGGCAGCATATCACTGATAACTGAAGGAGACATGGAAAATCCCCATTCTTCACGCCTGTCCATTTTTCAAGTTTTGGCATTCCATCAATTTTTAATTTTTCAAGCTTTGGAAATGCAGGTCCTACTTGACTCCCCCCATATCTACAAAAGCGACTATCAATAGATCTTACCCCATACATGCGAAAAAGGAGAAGAGACTTAAGTGACTGTAGACCTCCAAGGAATGGCAAGTCGATACAACTTTTACACTCCAAGAGAGTGATACTCACAATGTTGGACAAATACGAATTACTCATCCACGTAGGAAAACTAGAGCCATTATAGAAAGATATCTGTAACTCTTTGAGGCTCAAATGAGGCTGAAGATATTCCAATATCTCCTCAACTAAAAAAGGGAAATCATCTTGATGATGTTCCCATTGCAACTCCAACTTATCGAGATGTTTCTTGTTTAGCTCAACTTCTCTAGCCTCTTCGACACTTGAAATATTCTCAAGTCTTGAAATCTGAATTGACCCGCAAAGATCAGTGAGCTGCCTCAACTCTCTCACACCATAACCTTCCCCCTTGCCAAGAATGAACCCTTTAAGTGTCTGAAGGCGGGTCAGATTACCCATTCCAACTGGCATTGACCTTAGTTGGCCAACAATGTTAAGATCCAAATGGCGCAAATTAACCAACTTGCTAGTACAGTATGGTAATCTCGAAAAATTAGAACAACGCTCCAACTTTAGTATTTGTAAATACCAAAGCCTACCTATAGATTCAGGAAGGAGTCTAATAGGTGTGTCGGAGACATCAAGATAACGCAAAGATGACAAATAGCTAATGGAATTAGGCAACTCAGTTATGTTAGTCGCATGCAAGTCCATAGTTCTCAAGTGTTGCATCTTGAGAAAGAGATGATCAGGTACTCGCTTGAAGGAATGTTTATGGCGACAGGACAATACAAGGGTGCGCAACTGGTTGAATTTTTGGAGAGTTTTGAGAGTGTCTTTTCCAAAGCTCTCAGAGAGTAAGAATAATTTTTGGACTTCTTCTGCAATACTACTCAATTGTGCTTCTTGTACCCACGAGTTTGAACATGAGGACCCAACTTTGTATTTTATTCTTCCGGTGGCCATATCAAATCTTGATTGCACTATACGATTCACCTTAAGCATGTCCTCGAAATACTTGTTAGCCACAATCTCCACTCCCCGCCCATACTCAAAATCAAAGAACCCTTGTGCAATCCATAATCGGATCACCTTATCCTTGTCAAACTCAATATTAGAAGGCCAGAGAGAATAATAATCAGTTAGGCGATCCGGAAGCTCCTCCAAGTTTAAATGTTGGGATATGATGGTCGCTTCAAAATTGTTGCTCAATCCCTCGTTACATGTCATCGCCCTAATTATCTTGACAAGTATGTATACTCCTCGAAATATTCTGCAAATCTGAATAAGATGACAAATTTATATCATAATCGTACTACCACGATAACAAAATTTGCAAGAAAACATAAAACATGATGCCGAACCAAAGGGAGAGAAAAATCAATAGCAAAACGGTCAAGTAGTTTCACTTAATTGTGATAGCTAGTCCTTTACTCACATTCTATCCCAACAAATGATACAAGAGCAACATCTCAAAATGCATGTGGAAGGACTAAATAATTTGTTTAATGAGAAAAGGAATATTTTGATGAGAAACAGAGAAGTATTTGTATGATTACTGGTCCTCTTAAAGAAAGAACTAGAATTAGGGGGAAAAGGTTAATATGAGCGAACAGGGCTGCTGAATCTATCTCCTTCCAATTACTTGATGTCCATGGACAAAAGCCCTATTGTCGAGCTAGACAACCAATTCCCTCAAACTGATTAGTTTACCCTGGAACTGATGGTGCAACAAGAAGAGACTTTTTTCTGAATTAAACTCGGAGTGAAGTGCACTTCAGCTTTTAAAGATTATCCAAATGACACTCCAGCATCAAATATCAGAAAGTTCATTATTTTTTAGAACAATCTCTAGCACCAAATAACGTAAAAAGTTTGTCCAAAATATCATAATGTTATTATATGCCACCGTTTCTCAAACAATAACTTGTTTAATTTCAATTAATTTTTTTGCACATCTTTCAATCACAAAATTCAACTTTTCACATAATTAATACTCTCCGTTTCAATTTACATGACACACTTTCCTGATTTAGAATGACACATTTCTATATTTAGAAACAATTTAACTTTAAACTTTTCATTTTATTTTTACCTACTTTATCCTTAATGAAAAGCTTTTATAGCCACACAAATATCATGGCCCCACTAAGCTTTTGCTCCTTAAGCTTTTAGCACCACATGTTTCAAAAGTCTTCTTCTTTTTTCTTAAACTTTGTGCCAAATCAAACTACATCATCTATATTGAAACGGAGGGAGTACTATATAGAAAAAAGAAAAAACATAAAACAATAACCTTCATTGTATGCAGGTGTTGCGGGAGAAGAGGAAGAGGTTTCAAACAATTACATCCCAAGCATGTATGGCAATTGTGCCCTCCCCCGAATGTTGAAGAATCATCATCCTGAATTAAACTCGTGTTAAAAGTTTATCCAAATAACACGCTAGCACCAAATATCATAAAGTTTACAGTTCCTCTAGCACCAAATAACGTAAAGCTTATCCAAAATATCATAACTTTATTATAAGTCACAACTTCTAAAGTCAGAACTATTTTGCATCTTACTGAATGCTAGAAGTAAAATAAGCCCAACTCTAACTAGCTTCTTACAACTAATAGCTCAATTATAAGTAAGGTAATGGGCTCCGAAATGTTTTATTTGGGTTTAAGTATCTCACATATGGCACAATAGATGAAACATAGATTAAGCTCACTATATGGATATAAATAAAAAATAAATAAAAAGGGGCAGCCTGGTGCACTAAGCTCCCTCTATGTGCACAATATTATATGGATATGATCCAATTAAAAGTAGCATTTGGTTTACACAATATTATAAAAAGCCAAGAAGGAAAGCAATATCAAGTTTTACAAAGCCATAATCCTCACAGTAGTAAATTGTCAATAGTTGCAAGGGAAATTAGATGAAAATAATATCAACTAAGACAAATTATCCAAAAAATTACCACATATTTCGTTAGTATGCATGGAAAACTTGGAAGCAGCTTCCATTTATCTCCTCATTTTAAGACCCATTTGTCACAAAACAATCCACATTTTCAAGTCAACTAAGATTGAATATTCTTACCAATTGTTATGATTTCTCAAAAAAAAACATGTTAATTCAGAGGACGCTCAACTAAAAGGATGAAGTGTCTAAATAAGAAACAGCTACAACTTCATGCTAAAGAGATAGAAGTGCCTTGTACAAAGTGTAATAACAACACATCACCTATGCTTTTGCAATTCCTAAAAATTAATGGATATAGAATAATTGATTTCTTCCAAACCAATACTTAAGAAATCACTTAAATTAAGTATCTATAAAGTTCTCTTTAAGTGCATCCTTCAGATAAAAATAGCAATGGCCTAAATAACATCAAGGCCACCACCATCATACTTCTGGAACTTCTTTAATAAAATCGCTTTTCAAGCAATAACCTGACCAATTTCAAATCAGTTTTGTGCACAACTATCAAAAAAAAAAATTAAATTTTTCACATAATTAATGTATAAGAAAGAAGACAACAGCAACGACGACAACAACAACAATAACAACCCAACCCAGTAAAATCCCACAAGTGGGGTCTGGGGAGCGTAGAATATACGCTGACCTTAACCCTACCTTGGAGTGATAGAGAGACTGTTTCCGAGAGACCCTCAACTCAAGAAGACTAATGTATAAGAAAGAAGCAAAATAGAAAACAAAAACCTTCATTATTTGCTGGTTTTGCAGGAGAAAAGGAAAGGGCTTCTGATAACTAGAATCTCTTTGAACAATCTCATGAAGTAGAATCACTTCAACACTGTGACCAACAAGAAAATGGGAACAAATTAGTACTTGATAAGCAACTATCCGCAAACTAAAAAAAGAAAGATAAAAAGCACCAAACATTTCACTACATTACAATATACAAGAAACTTCGATATGTCCAAAGTAAACATACTAAATGCTACTCCAACAGCATCAGTGATGAGCCCTAGATAACGTGTTTCTTTTACCTTTGCTTTCCTATTCTTAAGCAAAATGAACGAAGAAGAGGAGCAGGAGACAAAAATGGCTCCAACTTTTGCCCTAAAAATCGAATTGTCCCTCAACTTTCTCAAATAGACATTTTCCTCCCTTATGTCTTGCGTAATACTACATTTTGTCCTTAACCTTTTTAATCCCCTCTCAAATACACAGTCTAATGTTATAGGATTATAAGATATTATATTTTTTTCTTAAATTATGTCATACTTTATTATAAATTGTTATCTAATTTCAGTTAAAATATAAATACATTTTTACTTAAATATATTTTCTGCTGTTTTATAATCTTTGTTTGAACATTACTATATATGCTAAATTTGTACTTATACTCCACTTCCTCCGTTTATACTCTATTGTTTACTTTCACATATAATTTATGTTATACCAAATTTATTCTAAATTATACATTTAAGAATAAATAGAGCAATCCTGTTGTGAATTTGTTATAAAAATTTACTGCTTTTAATATTACATACGTTATATGTATTTATATTCGCTCTATCTCTCTCTTCTATTGTCAAATGCAAGTAGAAATTTGATTTTTTTCATTGTTGATTGCTATCAAGTGACTGATACAAGCAAATTATTTTATTTTGGACGAATGGAAAGTCAAGTTGAAATGAAAAGAAAAATGTAGGATATTTACCTGGAAATCTAGCTATATGCAGGAATGCAGTCACATATAAGATGGAGAGACACCTACCGATCTAGCTTAGTTTCTCCATATTGCAAAATTTAAGACTAATGTATAACACTAAAGTCCCAAATCCTTAAGGTGGCGATCGATACCCCTTTATTTCAATCCATGTATTCTGAGTAATGCATACAAGTGTACAAATTACCATCAAATGAAGTGTTCAAAACTCTGCAAACACAGATATTAGCTTCCCTGTTTGGCCATTCCACACATGCACTGTCTCATCACAGGAAGCTAACCTTCCACTGGATGCAAATGAAAGATAAATGTACAAAACTTAAAAATAAGACTTAAAACATAGTATGGCCAGAGACTTATAATAAGATTCAAAACATAATATAATTCACACAACTTTTTGCAATACTAGAAACTGAAACAAGAGAAATATAAGGAGTAACAATGATTCTGCAACACCGGTGCAAAATTAGACATAAACAGAATTACAGACTTGCTAATTCATCTAATTCTTTTTACAATCCAAGAATGCTAGATCAAAGTTAACAACTTAACTACAGTTGCATGCCAAACTTTAAAAACTACAGTTCAAGTGCCTCTTTCCATGCATCTTGTGACTCTTCCTTTACATTCAGCTCAGAAAATCAACCAACTTCCTGCAAAGAAAGTAAGAAACCAGATTGGTTATCATAAGAAAAATTAGACAAGTAAATATATAGAAAGATTACCATAGCCGGCCATGTTTGCATTTCAACATCATAATCCTATCAGGTAAAGGACTAAAGCATGCATGGCCAATAACACTACTCAAAACTTTGGACACTAAACCATGCTCATACCCATGTGGAGTTCATAAGTAACTTATGGGTGGAGTTCAGATCAAACATCGATCAGTATAAAGGTGGGAAATGTTGAGTTTACCAGCTTTTGGAGTGATAAACAATTTACCTTTGAAGATCACCTATCTTGATCTATATCAGCAGGCTAAATTTCCACAAGCCACACAGTCAAGCACATCACTTTTCGAAGAGATCTGCACTAAATGGTCTGGTAGATTTCTTTAAAAGATTGGAAATGTAAATTTGGAAAGTGTGGTGCTGTACAGGTAATGGAATTTTCAGTCAAAGCTGCCTATAACTCATTTTTTAGGGAAAGATCTCATCTCCTAAAATTTAGATGCCTTTCATATCCTTTTTGCTGGTCTAACTTACACTATGTACATAACAGTGACCAACGCAGAGATTTTTTAACTGCTGGAGCTAACTTCTTCCGTATTTTGCAACCTCTAGATGCTATTTTAGCCGTTATGTCTATATAAGCAACATATCAGGGCAAAATTTCTGCATAGATAGCAATGTGCCAATGCCACACCATGTAATTAACTCAAAAATTGAGGTGCAGATTTAATAGTGATATGTACATTCAGCGATGCAAGAACAGTATCAGCACTAATATAAGTTTTCTTGTTCTATTTGATTCTCGTAAAGGTGTGTTTTCTCTTCCCCTGGAATGGAACCACCTGGCTAACTATATTCAGGATAAGTAGGATGCCGTCGAGATCTGCCAGTGCATTGATAGAGACTACATAAACAAGACTTCACCGACAAGTAAAAAAAGGCAAAAAAGATGTTAAAAGTATCATGACAGAAGTATATTGACAGTTTGATGAAAACATAAGTCCAAATGAAACATGGGTATTCTGTTGCTGAACCACAAACATAACATCAAAGCAATAGAAAGTACTAAGCAATCTGAGAGATACCTTTGAGAAAATGGGCAGCATAGCAGACCAATCAAAGCTCCATTATTCATCAGTGGTACGAATCGTGAGGCCTGGTATTCCTCTTGTCTTTATCCAATCCTCTTGATCTACTTGACATCGAGCTGCAACAATTTCACTTCCTCTGACATCTATCTTCCGGAGAGAAATAGGCATCCTTTCTGGCAATTTCCCTACTGCCGGGCACTTTTTGATCTTTAATATGGTGAGAGAACCGAGGATGTCAAGAGAAGGTAAACTTCTTAGGCTGGGACAATTTTTGCATATGAGAACACGAAGAGAAGGCACGTCCCCAGATATTAAATCCACCAATCTTGTCAGCGTCAACATGTTCCAAAATTTGAGTGACTTCAGTGATGGGAATCCCTGAAAAAAACCAGCCTGAGCTTCTCTTACCAAAGGCATATCTTCAATGCAAAGAGATTCAAGGAGCTGGAGATGTCCAAGAACTGGGAGCGACGGGCAATCATCACAGCCCTTCAAGTGAATGCTTTTAAGATTGAAACCTGAATCGATCAACCAACGTTGAGGAAATTCACAACCATAGTAGCCTGTTATTACCAATTTCTCCAGATTTTCATGAAACTTAACGTGACCAAGGACAACTAGTGTATCATGCCCAACTCTACGAACGACCCATTCCAACTCAAGTTCGTTGAGCAACGACATCATGTGTAAGTTGGCCTCTAATACCTGAGTTTCATCTTTTACATTTTCAAATCCGAAGAGGTGAAGTGATCCCTTGAGAAATGTCATTTTCTTTAGTTCCACAATAGTATAACCTTCAGCTTCACTAACCACAAATGTAGACAGGGTTTGAAGATTTGTTAATTCTACAAATTTTGATGGCATGTTCTCTATTCGCCAACACTTATCAAACTGAAGATGCCGAAGGTTTCCCAGATTCCTCAAACTTGCAGGGAGATAACAAAGTTCTTTGCAACTATTCAACTGAAGTGTCTGCAAATAAAAGAGTGTACCTATTGATTCTGGTATACGTCGTAAAAGATTACCAGATAGATTAAGGTAACGAAGGTACATTAAATTGTCAATTGTGTCTGGCAGCTCAACAATGTGCCCATGACTCAAATCCAGAACTCTTAGCAGACTAAACTTTTGGAGGAGATAAGTTGTTGCCTCACCAACACCTGCGTCGACATTCCGACATGTCAAGAGGAAGGTCCGCAATCTTTCACACTTGGGGAATTCCTCCATAGATTTAACTGACACCAAATTGTTGCAACAGAGCGACAAATGACGAATGCTTCCAAGTGAAGGGGAACATGTTGGATTTTCATCCTCAATCTGCAAACATATGTCTGTAGAAATAAATTGAGCCATCTCGCGAAAGAAGTCATGCATTTTGTATATCTTCTTCTTTTCTAAGTAAAAAAATGACCTCCCAGCTAGATCCTTAAAGTACTGCTTACCAATGCATTCCAAAGTTATTTCACCCATAGGCTGAATGAGTCCTTCGGCCAACCACATCAAGACTAAATTGTCCTCTTCAAACTTATAACTTGCAGGGAATAGAGCACAGTAAGCAAAGCATTTCTTCAATTCCGCAGGAAGACAACGGTATCTAATTGCTAGAGATGGAAAGATAGCATCTCTACACTGAGTCAAATCCCACAAATCACTTTTCAAAATCGCATCCCACTCCTCATAAGGAAGGCAACTCATTGTACTCGCAAGCACATTTGCCGCCAAAGGCAAACCTTTGCATTTTTTAGCTATTTCCAGCCCTATTGCATCAACATTCTCCCCTGCGCCAATAATGTTGTTGAGAATTGCCCTTTGCCTTATTATATTCCAGCAGTCCATGTCATGTAAAAAATGTAGGAGGTACGGGTCTGAACCAACAACATTTGATACTCTTCTACTTCGAGTAGTAATAATAACCTTACTACCATTGTAACCAAATCTTAAAGGAGCGGATAGGATTTCCCAATCACTGTCCTTCTCGCTCCAAAGGTCATCTAACACAAGCAAAAATCTTCTACCACAAAGCAATTTCTGAAGTGTTACTTGAAGTGGGTCCAAGTCCATGAGTGTGCAACTTGTCTTGGTGGCTGACTCAATGATTGATTTTGTGACTCTAACCACATCAAAATCCATAGATACCGAGACCCACATCCTCAAATAGAAGGACTTTATGACTTGTTCATCATTGTAAACAAGTCGGGCAAGTGCCGTTTTGCCTATCCCTCCCATACCGACAATGGGAATTATGGATAACTTGTGCCTAGGCATATATATATCACATAGTAACTTCTCTACAATCTCTGCCTTTTGAATCTCTCTTCCAACAATTAAGGATTTACCAACAAATGAAGTGCTGCTGGAGGATGTCACTACTTCTGTAGTCTTTTCAGATTTGTGTGATTCAAAACTCAAGAGTTTGTCCATTTCCCCTGCAAGATCTTCTAACTTTTCTCTCAATTTGCTAATTTGACGCGGCACGTTTAGTTTGCCCGACGACAAAATTTTCTTGCGTAAAGGGTGTTCTTCTTGAGATGAAGAAGCATTTGCTGCAACTTTGACCCTATTATGATGATCCAGTTCTAATGAAATCTCATCTAGGAGATCATCAGCAAAACAGGCAAGTGTCTTGATATCTTCGAGCCAGAGCTCCCATGCCTTTTTGCTTCTTTCGCTTGAGAAACAATTACAATGGCCATCCTCCACCCACTCAATCATAGCCATTACTTTTGAGACGCATCTTTCTAACCTTCGTAACTCAGCATCCACGTTCCATAGTTTGCCAATTTCCGATACAGCAAACTTGGCTATGCCTTCAAATAGTATTAAGGCTGCACCAGCAATAAACCCTGACCTCACCTCTTCTTTGAAACCCATGCCCACATTCAAAATGCACGCCTGACATAAAATCAACCATTAGCTACTACAAGCGGTGAAAACAAACCCACAATATTGTTCCATAATACGTAGTAAAACAAACCCATAAAGATGAAATCTTTTCTTTATTTAAAAGAAACACATTGGACAGATATAAGCAAAATGCAGATCAGTACAACCATGCATAATGTATAATGGTATAAGTAAAATACAGGAAAATGAAGACAATAAATAGGCACCTTTAAGAAATGCAAGATGAAACACTACTCTCACTGTCTCCTGCTAGCTCGTTCGAGAAACATTACTCCCTCTGCCTCCTCCTAGCTCGCTCTTTGGACGAAATACCCTAGTATTTCGCACCCTGCGTATCTTTTTCAAGAAGGATATTTTCTTCTCCCCAGTTACTAATAAGCGCGCCTATAAATATCCTTTTAATTTATATGAAAATTTACTACTCAATACTTGACGTACATTCTATATGTTGAGCATTCTTTCCTTTTTTTCAAAATAGAACTATAAATTTATACTAATAGTTAGAAACAAAAAACAATTGTTTTCCTTTTCCCTCACAACACATATCTTAGTAGAGAGCACTCATTTTGTCCTAGTTTATGTGTTAGCATTTTGGAGTTCGAGAGTCAAACTTATTAATTTTGATCATGAGTTCGGATATAGAATATTTATTTGAAAAGTCATCCGGTAATTACAATTGGTGTAATTACACAATATAGTAATTACGATGACATGTTTGTTTGTCATAACGTAATTACAATGTAATTACAAGCGTATTTTGATTGCACAAGTGTAATTACATAATTATATTTAATTTTAAATAAAATAATTATCAAAACTTAAAAGTTAATATAATAAACATATGCCTATAAATGATTTTTTATAAGTATAAATGATAATTGGTATATAAGATGCATATTTTTTGTTGAATATACATTAAGCAGTAATCATATATTAATTACTAATCTTGTAAAAATAATTGATATATATATTTTTTAAATTAATAATATTTAGGTTAATTAATTATAAAAACTAAAAATATAAATTTTGTAAGAACATCATGTAATGCATGTTTGATAAAATAAATTAATATTTATAAATATAATGGCATAATATTATTCAAATATTTGACAAAACTAATCTATTACTTCTAACTAAAAAATGGACATCATGCAATGTGAAGTGTGTGTGTGTATATATATATATATATATATATATATATATATATATATATATATATATNTAAGTTTAGAGAAATTTTCAGAAACCACTATTGTTTAGTGGCTATTAATTTCCTATAGCTGTCATTTATATAATTACTTCCTATAGCTACTATTCAGTTGTTACGTGACTGTATTTGCTATATTCGCGCTATTGTATTTATGAATGCAGTAGCAGAAATCGCCTAAAAACAGGGAAGTCTAGCTGTGCGCGACTGTATTCACTGTATTCGCGCTACTGTATTCATGAATACAGTAGCGTAAATCGCCTAAAAATATGGGTCCAGTTGTTTAAACGGAAAGAGGATCAATTGACGTGTATCATTCTTTATTTAACTCACCAAAATCAATTCTAAAAAAAAATCGTTGCTACTATGCTGTATTTCATGTATTTATGCGGCTTTATTTATAAATATATTGAGGTAGAAAAAATAAGGATTACAGATGTTTAATTATGTATTTTATGTATTCGCACAAATGTATTTATAAATACAGTGAGATAATCCGCCTAAAAAAATAGTGATTATAGGTGTTTAATAATTGAAAGCGCAATATTGAATTATATTCAATTTCACTATATTGAATTTAATTGTATTCAAGCAATAAAAAATCAAGAAAATAAGGGGCATACCGTTCTATTTAATTTTATTGTATACATTGTATTCAATTCACAGATATTCACTATTATACATTGTATTCAATTTACCGTATTCAATTCGACTGTATTCAAACAACATAAAATCACAAAAATACATTGATATTCGGTTGTATTCAAAAAATACAGACCTTCGGAATACATAAATACGGGCGAAAAATAATATATTTATACAAAAATATAATGTATTTGAGTGAATATGTATATAATGCAATGTATTTGTATCATTGTATGTGACTAAATAGTAAAGAAGAGAAGAAAGTTCGCCGGAGATGGCGTTTTCCGACCAAGCAAAATACTGTATATACTGTATTAAAACTAAAAATGGAGACGAACAAAAACTCGACCCTCAAATCTTCTCCGGCGTAGAAAATATTGCAGTATCTGTCGTTCATGTTACACTTCCCATGCTCTACTCGGATCATTCTGACATCGATTTTTGCTCCCCGCGCAGTGGCCCCAGCCTCAGAGCGACGAGCTCCTCCTTGCTATGGAGGAATCTGATTTTGAAGAAAAGGTTTGTCTGTCCCCCTCTTTCTCCCAACAGTTTAGAAGTATTTTTAACTGCAGTAATCCTAGGGGATTCGGCCAGAGAATTCACGATTAGAAGCAGGTATTATGCTCGAAGAGAGAGAAGGAAGAGAGAGAGAGAAAGAGAGAGAGAGAGAGAGAGAGAGAGAGAGAGAGAGAGAGAGAGAGAGAAAATTGTGTGTTAATTGAAAGAAAGAGAGAAAACATAAATAGCGTATTTCACGCCTTAATGGTAGTGTATATCATAAACACCTATTTTTCTATAAAATATAAAAGTAACTATAGAAAATAATATTTTAAAATAGTTTTAGACTTTTTATTTATAATAAATAGTGTGTATACCTTTGCTATAAGAAGAAAAATTTCAATAAGTTTATAATATCATTCAACAACGAATATAGAAACTACTTAAGGCCCTAAGTTTATATCAAATTCAATTACATGGTGGCTTTCCAAACAAGCCCTAAGTTTTTTGGAATAAAACTTATATATGAGAGAAACTACTTAAGAAGCAATGTAAGCCACTATAATTAGCAATTCAAAATATCTAAAAGACATCTAAAAAATTACGATAAAAAAAAAAACTCATTGGACTCTCAAATCCGAACACTGTTACATAAATTGAGATGGGAGAGTAGCCGATCCTAGGTTTATTGCTTCGAATTTAGTAAAACTTTGATTATGAAACATTAGTTTACTACATTTAGTTATACTCTATTTTATTTCATTTTATGTGAATCTATTATTATTTGGGAAGTCAAACAATATTTTCTCTATCAATATTATTTGTATATAATTTTTAAATGTTTGAATTGTTAACCATGTGACGTATAGTATTTTTTAATGTAATTTTTAAATATGTAAATTTTATTTTAAAAAATTAAAATTATATCCAAATTCACATTGAAAATTAATCAGTTTAACTCTCGTACTCCAAAAAAGTTCACGTAGGCTCGAATGGAGAGAGTAATAGTTTTAATTTGTTGTTTCTCATGAAAAATATTAACTACAAATTTGGTATAAATGACTTTGTTACATTTTTTCTAGTGTTTGATAAATAAATAAAATATTATCCCAATAATATTCATATATATAGTTAGGCAAACATTATTAGATAAAGGTTAGGAGGGGGTGTTNTTTGGTAATTATGAATTTGGGAAAAATTATGTACTCCCTCCATCTCAAATTACTAAAAATAGTTGTCTCATATTATTTGTCATTTTAAAAGTTTAAGACAAAATTGATTAATTTTTTCCTTTTTTACCCTTAGTAATAATTGTTCTTGAAGATAGAGATTACACATAAATAGAATAAATATTCAATAAAAAAAAATTATATCTTAAGACATAAATAAGGGTAGAATAGTCTAATTCATTTCTTAATTAATATTTTTTAAGGGGGGTGTAAAAAAGAAACACGACACATAACATGAGACGGAAGGAGTAATTATTCACCCCTATAACAGACCTCATCTTTTAAACTGCTAACATCTACCTTCACCTCACCCCTATTATATTTCTATATCAATATCACTAATGGTAATAGTTCAATTGTTGCAACTATCCATCTATCTTGATATTACAACTTCCTTTGCAATGGATAGAAAACTGATTCATGCTTCTCAGCTCTTCGTATGAATATCTAGTTGCTTCAAACACTTCTCTTCCCCGCCCACCCAGAGGTGGAGCTAGGATATAAATCGTTATCCTTTTAAGTTACTGAGTTCTAAATAAATGATTTGTATAACTTCAATAAATATCTTAAGAGAAATACATAATTTAAAAAAAGCTACTGAGTTCGAGTGGATCCACATTTCACACTCTGGTTCCGCCCCTGTCCTCACCATTGTGTTGGATTAATCTCCCACGTCAGATTGTCTTTGATATAATAGGTACGAATCCATTGGATCCACAGCCTATCCATTGGACCTCGTTTTCCTTTTTGCATTTCCTGATTTTTAAGGAAATTATTTTCCTAGAGAAAATATTTTTCATAACATGTGGATTAACCAAACGTGAAAAAATTAAAATACCTTAATGTTTTTATCCAAACCAAACACACCCTTAATTTCAAGACTTTCAACATGTTTTTGTGTTCCTTGCCTGGCCTTTTATATTTATTATAGTCTACAATCATGTTGTTACGGTAAAGGATGAACAAAAATTTAGAGCTCTGATTGAGACACTAGAAATTACATGTTTGACCAAGATTTCAAAATCTACTTATTTTGAAAAGTATTTTGTTAGAAGTACTTGTCGAAAAATACTTTGGAAGAGTAACAATTTATGTTTGGCTAATGCAATCGTAGTATATCGAGCTTCTCTGTGTGTCCAAGCTTCTTAAAAAAGAACACAACGTTGAATTTGTAACCGCACCTAAATGAGACAAACACTGTTAAAAAAATAAAATATAAAATATATATATATATATATATATGTCTGATTATATATGGTATTGCAAATTAAACTATTCTGGGTCTTTAAGATTTGAGGGAAATTATGTTGTATAATTATGCGACATTCATTATATGAATCTTTTGTATTTGTATTTATTCAGATCAGTTTCATTCGAAAGAATTATTA